TTATTAAATTTTTTTATTGTTTTTATTTTTTTTATTAATAGTTTTTATTGAATTAAAGACAAGTTTCACAATGTTATTTAAGAATAAACCTTAATTAAAGAAAACTAATTATACAATTCCACTTAAAAAGATACTAACCTAAAAGAAAAAAGAAAAAGGATAACAATAACAACGAAAAATACTTATACATATATTACAACAACAACGACAACAATAAAGACGCCTGCTAAGGAAGAGAGTGGCATTTTTACGAACCTCTGTAGATCTACTACTATTAAGTGCATTGGTTAGCTTCTCCCACTATTGAAAATGAAAAAGAAGTTTATTTTTCTCCCTGGCGATATGGAGCTCAATATTGAAGACACGTGGGCGTCTTGCCCTAGCAATAAAATCTCTAATTGAAGGTACGCTTTTATGACATTTCCTACAGTAGGCATAATATTTACCTAATAACAAAATATGATTAATTAGAATATTATAATAGTCTTCTACAATATCAAATTTTCCAAATATCACATCAGACTCGTTAATTGTCTCAACATGATATCCTGAAGGAGAAGAGTAAATGCTGGACGGATTTCGCTGCTTCTTGGCAGAAAATGCAGTTTGTAAAGATTATACAATTTAAAATTTTGTAATGAAATTCCCTGATCTTTGTGTGTAAAGTGCATTGAAACGTCGAAGTGTAAACCTTTTCCCAATCAATATCTATATTTGAGTACTTGTTTGATAATTTCTGTTTTGCGGTGGGCGAAATTTGCTTTTGCTGCAAGAAAGATGTGATAGATCTGTTTAGGTTTATATCAAGGATTGGCACTACGTTACGGCTTGCCATCTTAATAGTTGGGGTAATTGGTATGGGAATGGCTGATGTTCCGTTTGCTAAAACGTGAGCGCCATTCTCCGGGAATCGAATTGATAATATATACTCATAAGAAAAAATCTTTGTTCGGGGTTTGTAAGTGAAGAGAAGTCGCACGAGAAGGAGTTGTTCGCAGAAATTTAATCCCTTATCTTCACGAAGCGTAAGTTTACTATATCTCTTCTATACATCGATTTTTTGTCATAACAAAGAAATTTGTTGTTCCAGATAATTTCGTTCATGATTTCTTCGTAACAACTTGGACTTTTCCGATTAACCTTCGACCACGCATCGAAGCATTCCTTATAATATGCTGGTAGGCTGATTTTCAATTTAGAAGTTTGAAAGTTGCAGTGCAATACAAAACGTCCTCCGACTGCGAACAGAAGTTTGTCTAGGATTGTTTTCCAAGGACTTGAGTAATCTTTCAATAATTTCTTTAAACACGTTACTCGTTTAGTGCAAATCAAAGATTGAATGTCCAACATTTGAGTCCATCCATTTCTATTTCAGATATCAATGCAAGACGCTTCACTTTGTCTTTCCCTTTCGAAATAAAGTTGTAGAGAACTCGGAGTTTGCCTCTTTAATTAGTTCTTTAGAGACTGGTATAACCGATGCTCTGAACATAAGCTTTGGGATTGCGAAATTTGAATTGAACTGCGGTTTCGCCACAATATCCCGTGCCAGCCATTAATATTGTTTCGTCGGTGTTTAGCTTAGTTGATTGTACCTTGGATAAGCAACTCTCGACTCAGGAAAATTGGAACTACTAGGTCTACTTTCAGCGTGCTCTAATGGCGTTGAACCATGGGTCGGTTTTGCAGATAAGAAGGTGATAAACTATGTTTCATTCAGTTTGTTGTCTATTCCATGCAAAGTCCTGTTGGTTATCGGAGGGCGAAAAAAGTAGTGTTTTGCTAACTACTTAAGTTGTTATGTAAGCCTTAACCAGGCACTCTTTCGCTGCAGTTCAATCAACTTTAAAATTCCTAGACTTAAATGACACAGGTTTGAAACTTCGCGAAGTTAGATTAGTGAATAAATGTTCCAAAAAGTTTCTTCATTTTAAATTTGGACTGCCCAGCGTCAGATAAAGGCTTTTAATCGGCCTTTAAGCGAGTTTTATTGTTTTAAATTGCCAAGTAGTAGAATGAGTTAATTGATATTTTTGCTAACCCGGTTTTCAAAAATCCTGGTACTGTATACATAAATTAGCCTCTTGTTTAACCCCTCTAACCGATAAATTGTCCCAACCAAGAGAATTAAGAAGATATCTGGAACTTGTATCATAGCTAGATTTGGTGATAACTCTGATAGCACGATTTAGTTTTTGAAGGTTCTCACTATAATCGAAGTGCAGCTCGATAAGACCTTTGTATATTTTCATTGCAGTGGGCATTGAAACAAACGGCTTGACCCTCTTAAGAGCACCGATACCAGAGCATACCTTTTTTAGATTTCATGAATGTGGGCCTTCCACGAGAGATTTTCATCATTGATAAGCCGAAGAGATTTGCTTTGATTGCTTTGGTTCATTGTGTAGTCATGGCTAACTTTTTCCCCATAATTCTCCTGTGAACCAACATGGCCGCCTAGCCTTGTCACGTGGTTGCAAACAGAGAATACAACGCTTTAGAATTGTTCAATCGAGTCGACTAACCTGGTTATAACGTCCCAATATTTCGCTCCGCAAACATCTTTGCTCTTGGCTCGCACCCAGACGTCTCTCTCTCTCGATGCTTTCAGAGGAAGGAGGGAAGGAGAAAACGGGGGAGACATCATGCTTTACCTCTTATTTTTCTCCTTTCCTAGGTCCCTTGCGCTTCGACGCCAGTCACTCGCGTTTCACGCTCGCCTCTGTGCGAAAAACGAAGCGCCTAGGGAGGCGGCTGTCTTTGCTCTGAAGATTAATTTCCACCTGCACTGACACGTTTTTGGCTACGCACGTTAACGCACATAAATTTTAATCACGAAAATAAAATAGAGACAAGATCTAAAGTGATGAGATTAAACGTGAAGTTGAGCGAAGTTCAACTTTTACGCTCACAAGCGACTGTTCATACATTGCCTCTATTTGTTCGCGAACGTAAATTTTACGGACGTGCGCACGTAAAAATTACGCGACAGTGGAAATCAACCCCGAGTCGGTATTTGTTTATCATTAAACGTATACAGCTACTTCGAGACAGTTTGTCGGAAAAAATGTGCACGCGACAATCCCGAAAGGTAATATGGGATACGATCAATTCACTGTTCCTGACACTGTAGCTGTCGAACCTACTTTTGTTACTTTCCTTTAGCACTCGCAGACATAATTATGTCCATGGCCTCTCGTCCCATTCTCTCAAATTTCTTTGAAAAACGGTGAACTCAAAACCGCCCACAATACCTTTCGGGATTGTCGCGTGCACTTTTTCCGACAATCTATCTCGAAATAGCAGTATATTGATACCCTGGATACCAGAGGTCTTCTCGCCTCACCACCAGAATTATAAAGGGCGAAGTGCTGAAGAGCTGGCACCCAAGGTAATATATTGATTAATTATGGAGATAGAGATAATGTCTATCTGCCGAACTTTTACTTTAAGGGACTGGTTCACGATAATGCGCATGTGTGAGTTCTGACAGTAGCTGATTGTTTTTCAACCAATCGGAAGCGAGTTAGATGCACGCAAGTGGATTTACAAAATTCAAATTAATTGTTCGCTACGCGAGAGTATTTCCGGGCATTTGGTTTGATTTTATTTATCCCCATAATTCAAGTTTATTCTTTGTTACTCCTCAGATATATGTTGCAGCCGATAAGAATAAGATTTACAGCCCTGTCCTGCTTTGAAACAAACATTTACCAACGTGTATTTTTAGGAGGTCGTAGCCACGCTAACAAAACAGTCACCGATAGGCAAACAAAATTTGCAAACAAACATCTTATTACTGTTCTCTCAGTTCGCCTTATATAAACCCAGAAATGCCTACAAATAGCGCCTGACCGGTGACAAAAACACACAACGTATGAGTATAAAGATTATCCTTAATTGAGCATAAATTTCAATTGCTTATCAGCAAATGAACAAATTCATTCGCGTTGTATCGGGTCAGTGTTCCGCAAAACAAATGTTATAGAGTAGCACACATAAAGAGACTAGATTATAAACAGAATATTCAGGCAATAATTTATTTTAAAAACATCAATTCTTAAACATATACGATCGTAAAGCAAAGATACAAGGAACATTTCAAGTGTACCAGATCGGTGAAGATCGCGCGCCCTGTTGCGGGAAAACTATAGGTCGGAGTCAAAAATCAAATCAAAGTTGAACGAACTCATGCCTTTAACCACTTTCCAAGTGTCGTGTATTCTTTTCGTAAGCCACACACTACTCCTAGAACCATACCAGATCGATAGGCTAAGCTTCTCTATCTCCAGAGACTCTTGAGAACGTCCTGTTGCCGGACGGCCACGATGCTCTTCTGAACCTCCATGATCAAAACATTATTTTTTGCGTCTTCTTAAAACGTAACCAGTCAAACGACACAACCACACGTTAATCACCACTACCGAAGTATAACTAGACCAGCCAAAGCGACGGATGTCCGAATAAAACGAAGGATTTTCAATGATTGTACCGGTAATGGCGATTTCGAATTTAGTGTTGACCCGACAAATTTATTCTGAAGAGACAAACGGCGCGCATGCGCATTATCGTGAACCAGTCCCTCTAACTCCAGCCACCATCCCTCTAATTCCCATCTGACGTGCTCCTCTGATCTGCAGTTATTACAATTAATTAGATATGCTAAGCGATGGGGACAAGTTGAAGTGCTCGACATAGTGACAAAAGTCTAACTTGCCAAAGGAAAAATAAAGATCTTAATTCCTTCACAGTAACACGTGCACTGAATGCTCTAGGTACACCAAGATAATAATTACACAAAGGTCAACAGAACAAGGCTCAAGACCTAGCGGACCTAATACATGACTTGTCAAAATTGTATTGACGGAAATTATACTGGATCAGTTCAGTACGCAAAGCTACTTGGAGTTATGATCAATGCTAACTTAACCTCGAACGACCACATTGAGGAACTCGTAAAGAAAGCATCTCGAAAACACAACTTTCTTGTTCTACTGAAACGTTCGCAGGTTCCTTCTGACCGCGATCTCGTGGCGTACTACTGCGCGTGAATTAGATCATACTTAGTTTATGCATGCCCACTTTTCCACTATGCGTTATCCAAGTAACTGCTAGTCGAACTTGAGGTTGTTCAAAAGACAGCCCTCTCGTGTATCTTCCCTGGAGTTTCTTACAAGGACGCTTTAAGTCTCGCTGGTGTCGACTGCATGAGAGCCCATCACGAACAAATAACCGATCAGCTTTTCTAATCAATTGTTAACAACCCATCCAATAAGATTCACGGTTTGTTACCAAAAAAAGTGCAGCAGGCCTACTTATAATTTAAAAAGACAGAAGATTTGCGACCCACACAAAACTAAATCTACAAAGAGATTTATAGACACTTTTATCAACAAGATTAGCTCTACGGCAATACATTAAAGGCCCCGTCCACTCGTGCTCGTTCTTTCAAAACGCAAAAGAAAAAATTGCATATTGGCCTCCCGTCAACGAACATCCAATAAAAACCGTCAAAAGCCCTAGTCTTAATTCAGACGATGATGTCACAGTATATTAACCTTGAATATTTCTCTACCACCCTGCCTTTTGGCATATAAAAAAATATCTAAAGTTCACATTTTTCTTTTGGGTAAAATGTGTGATCTTATTTCAGAATACGACTTAGGTTTTCTTTTCTTCCCGCTGGTCTCGAAAAATGAGGCGTGAAACGGGTCACTGGAGGTCCACAAGCAAGTCCTCGGAGGTTACATAAAAGTGCTTGGTGTGAGACACCTTCGTTGATCAAAGACGGACTAATCCCTATAATTAAATGTTGGTTCTGAAACAGAAAGGGATACGTGTGGGCGAGCAAAAACAACTAAAAGACAATTCTTGAGGGCGAGTTTTTTACCCTCTTCAGACAAAAAATACGGATACAAGTGGAATCAAGGCCTAAGTATTTATCCAACAAATTCCACTGTTTCTGAAACCAAAACAGCAACAACAACGACAGCCGCACGTCGAACCGAAATGGTCACCATAAATGGAAGAGCACACCTAAAAGGGAAGAAGGAAAAAGTACGTTTATGATACAAATTGCACAGACTATTAAGGATGCCGTTTATATGGAGAAAACTTGTCCCGTCGCCCCATGTAAGGGAATCCAAGAGCGGTCTGCCGAGCGGGGGGTCGCGGGTTCAAACCCCGGCCGGACCAACACTCAGGGTCTTAAAATAACTGAGGAGAATGTGCTGCCTTTGTTGTGACATCTACAAAGGGTTAGACATTCTAGTCTTCTCGGATAATTCGTTCAGAAGCTCAAGTTGATTGAAAAATCAATTTATTCTTGTGAATGAAAGTTATTGTAGAAGTTAAAATGAACCAGCTTGATTTCGTCCTGAGTGTTACTCCGCTGGGCTACAGCGCAACTAGAAATAGATTTGACCATATGAGCACCTGTTGACTCAACCCTAAAACATTTTTCTGTGGTGTCTGTAAAATTTCCACCTTAAAAGCTCAACTTGAAATTTGGCAAATTTTTACTGGGCCATTATTGAATCAGTCAAGTTTTGCTGGTTTTCGTCCTGAAGGTTTCGTAGAATTCGTCGCGGGTGAGTCAAATAGCTTCGCAGTGTCTTGTTGAGTTTCGTTGCGAACAATTACTTTTATATTTCTACTGCGTTTGTGGGGAGTGGCGTTGCGTGACGACACTAAAAACGGTTGTGTAGCACACTACTGACTTCGTAGCACTCAGGAATTACACTTCGATTTTCAACTTGCCCAAGCTGGGCAGGACTAAAACAAGGAATCCGGAAACGGAATCACGCAAACGGAAACAGAAACATAAACGGAAACGGAATACCGAATCCGTGAAAGAAGGTTCAAGGCGATCGATTTGAAAAAAATATGTTAGCAATGACAATAAAAATGAATGAATAAATTTATACCTGGGCAGAGGAGACTGTTGTATAACTAGAGGAGTCGATTCCGGTGAAAAGACTCTTCATACCACTTCCAGCAATGAATGCAAATTCTCATAGGAAAGCAAAGTGGGAGGGGGGGGGGGGGGGGGACTATAGCTGAGAAGACGTCACTGACAATAACTAGTTTCTTTAGAAAGAGGTAAGTTTAACCGAAAGGCGTCGTCGTTAAGTTGTTCCTGGGTGTCTTTTCTGGGTTGTCTTCAACAGTGTTCAGTTTTATTTATCAAGACAACTTACTCAAGAGAACCATGGCATTATGGAGCCCAAAGAGAAGAGACAATTGTGCATGCATTTGCTTGATTCCGCAACTGATTACATCAAGATAATGCGTTACGTTTAATAAGCCTCTTCAGCGTAAAATGCGGACGTCAACAGAAACTCAATTATTCCAGTATTCTCTCTGCATTCAGCTTGCCGTAGAAGAAGTTGAACTTATTGCTAAAACACCGGAACTGTGGCAGTGGCGGATCTAGACCTTCAATCTTATCAAGACACATTAACAAGAATATACTTAAGGGAACTGCAAAGAAAACTAAAACAAATTCTCTTTGGATTGTACAAAATTATGCATTGTGAAATTCTTTAATTTTCTATCATTGATATTTGATTCCGTATTCCGCTACCGTCTGTGTTTCCGTTTGCGGATTCCATGTTTTAGTGCTGCCGCCCAAGCTTGCCCAACACCCAACTGCAACTTGGACGCCAACAAAACAAGTTGGGCTTAATAAGTCAAAACCAGGTAAATTTATTATATTGTACCTTATGCATCTAACACAAGCCTGGAGAATTCTTTTGGAGTATAGCAACAAAATCTCTGGTGACAGGCAGAGGAACATTTGGATCAATAAAAATTTTGAGAAACATCTTGCGATCCCAGGGTGGCATCAAAAGTCCAACAGTCACGAACATCTCTTGCACTTGGGTGCGATTCATTGGCTGTGGCCTCCACTGCTTTAGGGCACCAGAGTCTCCACAGCATCCCCATAACTACAAAACAGTGTATTTTGAGTTACAAATTAAAGTCTCGTCGCTATAACGAATCTTTTTGCGAAAACGTCAACTTCACTGAAACGAAAAACCGCCGGCATTTTTGCGAAATTACACTCATGATGTTGATGTATTAAGCAATTCAGTTGAAGTTCGTGAATGTTCCAGCAAAATTTTGTTGAACGTTACTTTATAAGGATAATCGACAAAATGTTTCAAATTGCATTTTTATTACCCTGTACTTGCAAAACTAATGAGTGCAAATGAAAACTCTTTCCAAAAGTCAGTCAACTGGCCGGGCGGGTCCTTTTGAGAATGAACTTAGCTTTTCTCGTGAATTTTGGCTAAAAACCAATCACTGCCACGCATAATATTTAGGAATAGACTGATCTGCTGGACAGTTCTAATTGAAAGTCTTTTAACAAATGGACGGGTCTGGCAGTTCTGACTAGTGGTAAGCGCCCTTAGTGTCATTGATTGAACCTTATTACCAATCAAAGGCATTTGAAAATAACTTAACGACAACGAACTCGAATTCAACTAAAAAAAAAAAATTCTCTCAATGAGGACATACAACGCGACGATAGTAACATTTCAACATCAGGCAATTTAACGTGATTAACACAAAGAACCACTTTTTCCTAATAAAACAGTCTTTCCCCTTAAAAGTTGAAAGCCACTGGTATACTTTGATATATATCAAGTAAACTGTTACTTTCCATCTGACTGGATCCGGAATTTTTTGGGTAAAATAATGGAAATTCAAGTACCAGGAAGTTTATATAATGGACGTCAGTGTACCTTAAAGGAAGGCAAACGCATTTTACTTCGCGCTTAATATTTCAGTCAGCTTTAATTTCGTACACTAAGGTGTACTTAACCGCAGTTATTATTGGCAAATTAATTTGCATACCCCACACAAGCCACACCATCCACAGCAACAAGGTGCGACGCCATGAATTGATAAATCTGCCCGGACTCCAGTCTCCCCAGACATCTCGACACTGCGTAAACAGCGCAGGGGTATGGGTAAGTAGTAGGTGGTGTCATTACATGATGACGCAAGAGAGTAACCTCCTGGCAGTTTCTTTGGATTGCCCCATTGAGCCAAGGACGTACCTGACAAGTACCAATAGAGAGAGATTCACCATTTTTTTCGTGGGACCCTGGGGACGAAGTTGGTTATAAATGGAAAATCTGACAGGCATTAAGTGTCAAACGACCAGTTTTTTTAAAGAAAACAAAAACACAAAAAAAATTATAACACTGCTAGTGGGAGTCTCCATACTTTGGGATTTTATTATTCGCTTCCTTAATCTATCATGAAGGACTCTGAATTACAACCCAGTTTTTAACTAGATCTCTTCAGCTTGCATGTTTTGTTTTCCGCCCAGTGTAGGTTATACTGTATGATATTCTTAAGGGAAATTCTTTCAGAAATTATGTGAACGTCTGCAAGTGAATTTGAAGAAATTTGTCCAGGGCAAGGGTGACCTACCCTTGAAATAATAATAATAACATACACGCCAAAGAGGTTCAAACCTAAAGAGAAACAAGAAGACGCCCGAAGGCGTTTACGTGTGTGGGTGTAAGTAAGAATTACCGGTGTGTTGAATGGCAATGGAAAGTCCAGTAGTGTATCAACAACAAATGTGTGCAAGAGAGACGGAGACGTTCTGTTAAGGACTAATACACTAGAAGATGAGTTACACACAAGGGTTCCTTTGCTACTCAAAACAAAACTTACATCAATATTACCACTATATATGTTGAGAGTATGGGATAGTTCACAAGACTTGCATTCCCTTCACTAATGTCCTCCACATTCAACAATAGCATGTAATGTATCATACTTCCAATAACTAAAGGGCTGCCAGGCTGTGCTCTAGGGAAAGTTTCAGGGAGCCCTTGCACCCAAGCATTTTAGCTGCGGTGCCCAGGCCTAAAAGATCTAGATGGTCGCCCAAATAATATTTTCAGGGAGCCCTTTGGTCTCCCAAACATTTTAGCTGGGGTGCCCGGGCCTCCAAGTTGGTCGCTCTAAAATAAATCAGTGAGCTGTTAGTTAGTTATTAAAAATTAAACAAATTATTTTCTAAACAAGTCAAGCAGAATTTTCTGAATATTTTTTTCATGAAAACTCACATCCTTTGACCTCCTGAGCGTGCGGACAAAGAGATTTCTTCATGGTTACCATCTATACAACAAAAAAGCTTTTGTACATTTGGATCAATTTGCACATTTCTAGCAAGAGCAGTGACAATGATTAACATTATTACATAAGCATGACTGCATTTCTTGGATTAATGTCGATGGTCCAAAGCTCTTTAAAAGCTAAATATAGAACAAAAATGTTTAATAGGGAGTTGTACTTACCTACTGTAAGCTGTGAGGATAAGAAAAGAATCCTTTTGTTTGTCAAAAGGCAAATCCCTCCGCTACGCTGGCTCACTGGTGTGCCAGCGTCATCACAGAATTGTACGTTGGTGTAGTTCATAAATGTGAAGTTATTCAATGCTTGAAAACTTTCACCTTCAAAGATGAGCCCTGCTAAGAGATCTTTGTAACTCATATTACCCTGAGAGAGAAAGCGAGAGGAAGAAACTTGGATTATAAAATTGCCGAGATACACAGGCTAGGCGACCAGTGAGATTATCAAGAAATAAAGGACATAAGAAAGGGAATAAAAGAAGAAAAAAGAAGATAAGGAAACGACTATGGTATTGAATGAGATAATGACAAACTTGTGGTCATCGATAACTTACAGAAGTGCTGAATTACAAACTAAATTGATAATATAAAATGCTCCTTATGATGATAATTAAACGATGAAGTCGTACTAAATAATCAAGATGGCAGTAAAGAACTTATCACTCCGTGTTTTTTTTTACACATGTGCAAGAACTTCAACACTAATTTTGTGTAAAAGATTGTACAGTAAATAGTGGGGAAATATGTTATTTCCAAAATCGCATCTTTATTATTACAACTGCTGAAATTTAGTCATTATAGTTTGGTTTAAACAACAGACAAAGTTATTTGCACCAGTGAGCATTCTTATAGCTGCAGTGCTTTGCGAGATGACAAATATGAGTGAATTGCCTAGTATAGATTTAGCCGAGGCTAAAGGTATCACCCACTAATGTAATGATCGAGTACTAACGTAATAATAACCACTAATGTAACAAAAACCAACCACTAATTTAATACTAACCATTGAAATGACAAATATCAACCACTAACGCAATAAAACAGTTAACCACTTATGTAATAACATTTTAACCTTTAATGCAACAAAAAAAATACCAAAAACTCAAAGAGAACGGCTGATTGGTTATTAGGATTGTATTAGGATTTATATCATCATATGGCACACGGCAAAAAAAATCCTACGACTTCCAGCTTTGATTTGTTGATGCGACAAAAACGCTCTCCAGCGGCGATCACTCTCGCTTGCTTGGAGATTAGATCGAGAAATAAGGAGGCGATTAATTCTACGCGAACAGGATTTACTCTCGAGAGGTTTTTTACTTCCTACTTTATCGACGTCGATACTTTTCGTTTCTGAATTGATTTAGTACGTGTTAGCGACGACCGGAAATACGTCTGCTGCAGGCTATACGCGTGTATAAATACACGAAAATTCAAGGGCCTCGATTCCAGAGAAATTACATCATTGCCAAAGATCAAAAAGGTGATTTACATGGCACGTCATTTCAATCATAGCCGAAAATACATCGCATGTTCATGACAAGACCCAATTGCATAAAATGAAAGTTTACAACACCCGACCATCGCAGTTTCGTTAATTAAGATTGTCATTTTTTTCGACCACTCAGTAGTGTTCACTTGTTCCAAAGTATATCAACGCTTTTAAGCAAAAGAATTCGTGGACCGACACGTTTCGGAAAAGTAAGCCTTCTTTGCAAAACATGCGTGGCTTCGATCGCGCAACGATTCTTAGCCCCAGTTTCCACGGTCCCCGCAAGGAACGCCTGGCACAATGACTCCCCTTTTGGGTCCTAAATACCACGAAAAACGCGTTGTAGATTATGAGTCTCGCTGCTGACGCAAGCGAGACTAATAAGTAATTTAGGACGCCAGACGTATAGTGGCGCAAAAATACTGCAAAACGTTAACTGTTGTGGCGAAGGTTTAATTTCCAGTTTGAAACTGACGATGTTGAGTGACCTTGTAAATAACTGCGACTCCCCCTAGTTCTCTACATAGCAGGGCTCTGCCCAAAACGGGCACCAAACATTTTTTCACACTGAGATTATATGCATGAGATGGATACCTTTTCTTTGTAAAATGGTAGGGCAAAAAGGTAAGATGTTTAAGTTTCTAAAGAAATTGTGGTGTTGCGTCGGAACAGTATTATTTAAAAGGCAAGGTTTTCGAACTCTGGGCAGAGCCTCCACAGCGACTGCAAGCACAAGCGTTAACGGTCACTGTTTCCCTATTTACCATGCATTTGCACACCACCAGATTTACAATCACGATAAATACAACTTACCCTTATGAACGCGCAACAGTTCCACATGTACCTTACCTCGACCTGAATACTGACCAGAAGGACCAAAGAATGACAAAAATTTCGTTCAATTTGCGTCAGCCCATGCTCATTTATGCTATAGATGCATGCGCTTCAGGCTTCCTGTACAAAATGCTTTAATTGAAACAGATGCATTCTAATTCACTAATGAAACTGGATAAAAAGAAAGGATATCTTTCAATGATGGTTTAGTTGTTGTTAAAAAAATCTGTCTTTTGACATCATAGAACAAGTTGGGACACGTCCCAGAAGTAAGAACAGTATTATATTGTGTTGGTCACTGTACATACTCTGTATCAGTGTAGAGAGTCTTTGTTAATGAGCATTTATATAACAATTCAAATGCCACCAAGTAGCTCTTCTCTTTGAGGTTGTTGCATTAATGACCGAAAGTTATTACATTTACAATGATTAAGTTTTCCATAAAAATAAAAGGTTAAAAAGTCATTACATTGGTGGTTAACTTTTTGTTACATTAGTGGTTGATATTTATAACATTAGTGGTTAGTATTACATCACTGGTCGATTACCACATTATTGAAGGCGAAGCCTTCGTTAATGAACAAACATTGCAATAAAGAAATCCAATTAGTGTTGAGCCTGCAATCAGTTGAGAACAAGAAACTTGCAAGCGGTAAACTTCAAAAGAATTCGTAACCTCAATGGGTCGACCCTGAGCCCTCGATACGGTCATGTGATACTGGTCAGCGGATACCCTGTCTTGACAACTGTCAATTGAATACAACATGGATGTGCAATATCATTTTGCAGGCTCACACTAGTTAGAAGGTGAAACATTTCACATTTGTTTCTCTGTGGTGCAGACGAACGGGAGGGCGGGTGGACGTACTGTCATGTTGACAGCCAAAATTTCTTGGATGGATAGGTAGCCCAATTTTCTTAGATAAGGGGCTCTGTTTGCACGCGCGTGGAGCCCCTGGGGCTGGGAAACACTATTGATGAATCAGTTGTCAGAGTATTCCTGACCTTCAGAGAAACAAACTGGCCCTGTACTGTACGTTGTAGTTGATCAGCGCTTTGTCTAACAACACTTTGCAGGGTTGTACCACTCATGTGCGCAGTGGTTAGTCCAGTCATTATGCCTCTTGAGGCAGGGTCCAACATGGCATCTGAAAAGGCCTGGGGTTGACTCATTACAGGTGGAGCAATTGAGGCTAGAAAGTCCATATCAACTGGAAATTAAATAGAAAATATATGACTTATGCAGCTTAATCAGTGTTAATATATTGTGAATAGTGTGAATATCATGCCAGTTATGTAGTTATTATGGAGTTTAAGCAACCTCTATGGTAACGGCAGTGAAAAGATCTTTTAGAATGTAAATTCTCGTTCTCTTAATATTCATATCGATTGTTCCGACTGGCTCAGACATTTGGCCCATCCTCGGAGAACTCTCCTGGAGTTGAATTACTAGAAAACCTAATCCAAGTTCAGAACAAAGGGAAATACTGAACAATTTATAGTCTTTTTTAGAGCTTAACTCCTCCTTGAAACTTAAAATTTGGCAGTTTCACGTCATAGGTGTGCAGTCACGGCAAAGAAATGCACCAAAAATGACCAAAAATGGACTGAAAGTGCAGATGCAGAGTTGTTGTTTGGTTTATTAAACGTATTACTTTTGGTTTTCTTTCACACGTCACCGTCGTGTTTGTTTGAACTCCCTATTTGAATACTGAATGTCAAGACTGATGTGAGTCGCGCACCGGGGTATTTCAAGTCTCATATCACCGGGAAGGTTGCAAAACGAATTTCACATCACTATGGGCTGCATGAGGAAACGAGAAAAACGCAGTGCATTTTGTACACACAATTCTAAGCCTTCGCGCTGTATTAAATTTCAAAAGCTAAACCCGGTTAAGACGCCGAACTTTTCATGAGCCGAACCTAATACATTGAATTAAGTACATGAAAAGTTAGTCTTAACTGGGCCTATTAATTATACAAAACGATCATATATTGAAATAACTCTTGAAGAACTGATTCACTAAAATCCATGATGAAATAAGCTTTCATATTCCAATCAGATAGCTTATCAAGAACGAATATTTCTCTTGGGATTCGTCGCTCAACGCAACAAACTGAATCATACTATGAAAGATAACCCCTCGCCAAGAAATTTACAATATGCGTCTAAGGACAATTTCAAACGTCCTGCTACTGCTTTGCCAAACTCATGATCAGATAATGGAATCAAATTTAAGTGAAGCATGACGTTTGAAGCCAAGTCACTCTACTGCCGTGGATTAAAAGCACGAGCTGGTTGCAAACAATTCGTCTTACTTGATCCAGTTGTTGCGTGTGGAGGTCCTTCGAAATTTCTGTTCGCCATCTCTTCCAACAGGATTGGAGCGTGAAAAGATACTGCTTTGTCGTCTACCTCGAATTCGTCGCTACTAGGACTTCTCCGTTCCCCCGCAAACTTATCGTAGCTCATCTGAATAGAAAACGTGCCCAATTTACCCCACAAATGTGGAAAGCTTTGATGTTTTTCTAGAAAACTGTTTCATATAATCACGTGGCTTACTTCATTTTAGTTTTGCGGGGGTAAAGCTGGGGTTTTGTTGGTAAAAGTATTCGTGAGGCGCGAGCTATAATCTCACAGGAAAAAAAATCTCTTGGAAAATAAAAAATCGCATTTCAAGGCTTTGTTTGTTTTATTTCAAGCTTATCAACGCCTGGTGGATTAGAGTTAAAGTGAAAACGTTTAGTTTGAGCAGCAGGCGCCCATGGAAATTTAATCTATCTCCCCCTGATTTCGTGGAAAAGTCTCTCAGACGTCTCTCGTTGGTCACGCAATCGCCAATAGTAATCCTCTCGGAAATGGCTCTTGATATAGAAACATTTACCACTTTGTACATCATTTTGTTCACGCACATTATGTTCTATTAACAACAATTTGAAAATACTATTTATATTGAAAAGATTACCGCTTCTGTGGTCATTGATGCATTCGTTTACATGATCTCAATTGATATTCAACTTTTGGAAAAGAGACCATATGATATGTAAAATTTATTTCCCCACGGTAGAGTGACGAACACAGAATACTTGATGTTATTTCGGTCCTCAGAATTTTTTTCTTTTGTTTTCTTCATCTTCCAGCAACGGATGAAAACAGAAATATACTGGATAGAAATATTTGACAGTAATTTATTTGCACTTCATCTCTGATCGAGAAAGAACATGTCCTATATTAAATATTTTATTTTTGTTTATCATTATTGGGTCATCGTTCTCCTCTGATGGTTTTATCATTAATTCCACCTTAGTTGATATTGGCCAGTCTGAAGCGGCTCCTATTTTGTCTCTGTTGTCCCGTTGTATCGTCAGTTAAAAAAATTGAGCACTTATTATGTTTATGTTGGTTCGCATGGAAGCTCCGTGTGTTTAATTAACATTGGTGAATGATTCCTATTTCATGCCTGTCAACAACAATATAATAGAACAGCCGCTTTAGGAGCGTTTTTTCTGTTGTCGTTGTTCGCACGGGCTAAAAATGAAACACCGTGTGAAAAAAATGCGTTTGATATCTGGCCTTCATGCATGCCCCAATAGAAAGACAGTACTGTAGTACCAATGTGGCTTTTATAAAAACATTGAAGCATATCTATGAATGAAACTGAAATTTCACCAGTTGCAAGCTGAAATAAAGATTCTTACCAGAAGAATTCATTTCTCGAAGTGGGATAGAGACTCTGTCGACCTCCTGACTTGTAAGGTCCGCGATCGGATTTTTGAAGCTCAGAGCGTAGTTGCTCATAGTTGGTCAACTTTTCGATGCTGCTCCCGTTTCTTGGAACTCATTAACATGACAATTAAGTCTTCATTTCGTGGAAAAAATGGTGAAATTGATCCCCATCTATAACATTGGACAATAGATTCACGCTCAAAGGTGGATGTTACTAAAACGGGGAACGGGGAGCGGGGAGCGGGGAACGGAAGTCTGGGAACGAGTTGTCAGCGGAAACCTCCACAAAAATCCAAAATGGCGGTCCAAAAAACGAGAGAGAGAAAGAAGAAGACAAAGAAAGGCATTTGTGCCTTGGTTGAAATCAGGTGGGGACGAAATTGCAAATCAGACTCACATTTTACGTTTACGTTTTGAACAGGTGGTATGTTTTTTCGATATTCAACCTGTTTCATTTACAATATGATAAGGTCTTAGGTCTTAGTTTTCGAGACACCTGGCACACTCACATTACTCCTGGATTACTCCGTTTACTTTAGACCGTCGCTTAATCCTGCCTGTTTATCCCCCTGAATGTTCTTTTTCCCACTCAGACAAACTCTTGGAGAGTAAAGGTTTTATCCAAGCCCATAATATGCCTTGTTTTGAGAATGCTTGATAAATAACTCGCAGGCATTGTAATGAGAAATAAACGTGGAATTTATTAATGCATGTACATATAGTGTTCTCGCGTTCTGTGCTTGAGTAAAACTTTGTACAGCAGTTAGTATTTAAAACTAACGGCTAAAACTTGTTTATTACAATTTTTTTATAACGGGGAAAGTTTGTTGTTGTTGTTAGTGTTATATTAAAGCCATTGAGTGATGAGTTATGAATCGTTTAAGGTCAGGGTTTGGCATTGAAAGCAGGGTTAAGCACTGACTTCAAGAAGGTGGTAGACAAAACACTGACCCCCATTCCATGAACTACCCCCAATGACTACCCTAAAATGGACTATGCCACTGAAGTTAAGTGATTAGGGTTAGGAAACGGAGTGAATCAGGTTCCATTTAGGGTCCTTATACTGGGAAAACTGACCTAAAACTTCATTCACTCAGTTTCCTAACCCTAATCACTAAACTTCAGTGGTGTAGTCCATGAAGTGTGGGTCAGTGTTTTGTCCACCACCCTTCAAGAAATGTTTATTCAGGTTTGTCACTATATTTACTGTATGTACCAGTATTTGTTTAAAGCAGATAGTAGCAGTTAATTCGAGATATTGGCTAACTTGGTCAAAAAGATTTTTGTTTATGTAAACTGACTAAATCCTCTGTTTGAAACCATCTTACGTCATCTTCTGGAGTGGATTACCCTGTAAGTCCCAAGCTATTAACAGTGATTAACATCAATATTCTCTTTACAACATCAAGGTTATGAGAATTGCTAAAATGATCACTGAGAGGAAAATGTTTTGATTTGTTCTTCTACAGTGAAACCCCGCCTTACGGCCACCTCGGTAATACTGTCACCTTCCTGTTATTATGGCCGCTTTTTTTTGGCTGCCCAGCAAAACAGCCATCCATTTTCATGTAAAAAGCCCTGGTTAATACGGCCACCTGTCAATACGGCCAAATGCCTTTGGCCCATTGGTGACTGTATTAATTGGGTTTCACTGTAGTGTTTTCTCTCAACTTATTCTTTACATATGTGTATAGAGATGAGTGTGGACAATTTTGTAAAGGATATTGGGACTTTAAGGGTTAATTTTGTATCTTTCTTTCTCACACATAAATAAATTTTATATTGTCAATGAATCTATAATGTCTAGAAGGTCCAGAAGCATATGTCAAATCATTTTCAGTAGTCCCTGGCAAAGGTAGAAAATTATGGCAGTGTGACAATGCTGGTTAATGGTTTATCTAATTTAATAATGTATGTACATGTATTTTATAAACTCTATTTTTCATAGCTGTACCAAGGCAAAAAGGTGGTTCTCTCGTTGTGGCAGCCAAGAGAGACTTTCTGTTCCTAGATCTAGAGGTACATGTAGTACTGTTGACCAGTAATTAACCTTTCCTGTCATATTAAGCTAGTGAAGTGATTTCTTTGCACCTGCCTTTGCAAAAACAAGGGGGGGTTACCATCTTATGCTGTGCTGAAAAAAGTGGATGTATTGTATACTTTATATAAATATTTGAGTCCAGCCTCCTTATTACAGACACATACCAAACGTCATATTATATATAATATAATATGATCCCTATGCAGTCAGTTCTCTCTCACACGGACAGGTTCAGGACTGGCCTCAACTGTCTGTCTTAGAGAGGTGTCTTGTTTATAGACAGTTGAGGTATCATGACACCAGTAATATTACAAGAAAATATCAAGCTGGCAATGGATGTGATAGGAAAGTAGAATCATTCTCTCACTGTACAATCAAACATTTATTACAAGCTAACATTCATGGCTTAATGGTCTAAAAGTGTAACTGGAACAAGACCACAAAATGATAAGAATGACCGTACCAAAAATGTGCCTTCTTGAGTTAGAGCTTTAACTCATGACTGCAAAACAAACTGTAATACAGTACCGTAAGTACTTAATTTGCTTCCTCATACAGCAATCTTCTGTTATGTACTAGAGAACCTACTTTCTACATATTTTTGAGGTATTTGTGTCTGTTGACAGTTTTGTGACCACCCTGCGGGTCACTTCAACTTATATGTTTTAGGCTGGTGGCTGCATATGGCTTGAGATAAATGGTGCCTAAATCAAAGTTACCTATGGATCATCTTACTATACTGTAAATCCCCTCTACCTCGATTTTGGAGCCATTGAAGCATTTAACAGTACAGAATAATACCTCTGTGCTTTAGGGCTAGCTATTAGATGGCCGGGCCTTCATTGTCCAGGATTTAACCCGGCCAAGCAGTTTAAATGTCATGATCGCCTTTTGATATGGATTCAAAGTGTTTCAACTGCAGCAATTTGGCCTTACATTACAGCATACAACCATGCAATAAAACAAAGGAAACTTTGAGCAATAAAAATAATAATAAATAATATTCAAATGATATTTATAACTAATACTGTATCCTTTTTTCCTTAACAGACAGGGCACAAAGAAGTTGTAACTTCAATTGACAGTAAGTTATTGTATTGGTGTCTGTTTCACTTATCATCAATAATTGCTACATGATCATGTTATAAAACTTATTATTACTCTTCTCTGTTGGGTCATCAAAGATCTCAGGTACTTGTATTTTTTAAGCTGAATGTTCCCTGCTGTATACTTTTTTAATGCAACACTCATGTCATACGAAATTCACTTATCATGACTTATGAGTATTTTAAAAATGAGCCACTGATTTTGTTGTGGATTCAAATATTAACATGTAATTAAAATTATTGATTGACTTATGTAGTGTTTTATTGCAGATGACAAACCAGACAATCGCTTCAATGATGGAAAATGTGACTTGGTCAGTGCTTCATCATTTTATAATGACTATACATTAAGACAACTGGGACAAAAAGTATTGAGTGGAAAGTTTTTGTTACAGTATTATCTGTATCCCTCAAGTATTCCTTTTCCCAGCAGTCTGTATTAACTGTTATACATTTACATGTAGATGTGGCTCATCGAAATTACTTCTGTATGTAATACTTTGATTGTATTACCACTGCAAACAGTCTGATCCTGTTATGGTCATCTTTTCTTATAACTTTTTTTTTTTGTAATTTATTTTACAGACTGGTAGATTTTGGGCTGGTAGGTACAAAGCAAAACTATTTAATATATTCACCACAACTTGATCAAGATGGAAAAACCCATCACCTAGCTGACAAGTGACAGAGGGACTGAGTCAGACAGTCTACATACATAGTTGAAGCTGTCTTATCAGACACTCTGGGCAGCCATACTTATAGTCACCTTGACGTGAAGTCCCGTTTGAACTCCTTGCTAAAAATCAAACTGAAACATCTGAACTTCCGCCAGGTGAATAAACCAGGGTCACCCAACGTCAATTTTCGGAAAATATCTGTTCGGAAGACGATCTGAGATCTAGAATTTTCGGAACATTTGTTGTAAAATTTCTTGCTTGCCTGCCTCTCCTAGGATTTTCGAACATCTAAAAAATGATATAATTGCCCATTTTAACGGATTTTTGCCCTAAAAAGGTCACCTAGAATTTTCGGGAGCCTTTTTTCTGGCTGAAATTTTCGAAAAGGTAAGTTTTGATCCCTATAATTTTCGGATCACTAGAGTTTCAGCTACGAAATCCGAACAGATGAAAAATTTTTTGGGGATACAAATGTGCCTATATCGACGGTTTAAGTACTAAAATACGTTTAACAATGCTATGTTTTCAAGCGGTTTTGAACTATATTCTAGTTGGGTGCCCCTGATATTTACCATACTGGATCAGTCCATGCTTGTGAAGTGTTACAGTCGTGATCGATAAATAAATTTATCAGAGGTGCTTGAGAACCTTAAATGACAGGGCTATTCCTAGACTGTTCACAGTCCCCTATTTTCTCGTAAGATTTTCGGAATCGAAGACTTTTCGTTTTCGTCACGGTCGACCATCTTAGAGGAGTGATAAATCTCTTAAGGGGGTAGGGGACGGTTTGAGAACCCTCCTCCGCTATTAACCCCGACGCCCGGCCCCTTGGTACATATGAAACCTAGGTGGCTGTCCGTACCGGTAAGCGCTCGATCCTGACGGTCTTACGAAAAAAATATGGGACTGTGAACAGGGTTTATTAGGGCGAGGGGCTTAATAGACGATTTTAGGGTGCGATCGAGTTAAAAATTAAATCGTTCCCCAGTTACTAAGTATACATCTGTGCATGTAGATCTTCTACTGTTGTTTTTTTTTTTTTTGCGTTTTAAGGAACCATGGGTCCTGAGCCAATTCCCACGAAAGTTGTACCAAATCAGGGATCATTAGTGAGTATGCCCTTCGATTAAGTTAAAACATTTTTTAAAGATTTGTTCTGGATGTCCAGTTACAAAGGAATTGATAAGAAAAGATTCATTTTTGGGGCGATGGGCTAACCTGATCTGTCGGGCAACTTAGCTTTGATTAACAAACTGTATACTTAAGAAAATGACGAACCATTATTTATGATCTATGAGTGCACGACGAGAAAGAAGGAATTTTTTTTTTTCGTGTGGAGACGTTTCACCGTCTTCCGCCATTACAATAGAGCCGGCAGCTTCAACAAATCTTTTCGTTCGGCCATTTTTGTAAAAGGTCGCGTTTTCTTATTTTTAATATATCTTTTTCATGACGTCATACGATTTTCAGGGTTATCTTGACTGTTTTTTTCACGTTGGTTGTCCTGTGCAGATCGATGCCACATGGTCCCTCTGCTCGGGAAAGTTGTAAAATGTACTTCGTTATGACATTGAGTCTGGTTAAAACTTCCTTAGATTTGGACATGGAGACTAAAGTTAGCCGAATGCCCAATTTTTATGTCAGCAAAAGGATTTTCGCCTTCAGTGGCTATTCTTGCAAGTAGAAATTGTGAATAACTTGCCTACCAGACAGACAGCAAAACAGCAATTATTTCCATGAATCGGTAAAGCAAATTAACAGAGCAAAAAGGAAACACTAAGCAAAAGAAATAAACAAAATTCTTAAATGAGCTGTTCACCACTAAGACTTATTTTTCTGGAATTTTCTGCTGGCTGCTATCCCTGTCTACTGTCGCTATCTCAAAACAGATGTTCTTCACGTTTCCATATAGGGCATTTATTTTAGTACGTTGTCAGTCTAGAAATTGTTAAGGTGCAACATGCAACCATCGAGTTATGGATGCACGTAGGAGGTTTCTAAGCACGGAAGAAGCGTAAGAGTTGAGTAACTAAAAGCCTCTTGAGTGCTTAGCAAACCTTCCAAGTGCATCCATAACTCGATGGTTTCACAGCTGCACTATTTACCATTTTTATTATAGCAGAATCATCTGCCCACGCTATGGCGTGTGCAAATTCGCAAACTATGAGGTAAAAACAAAATATATTCTGCGTTGAAAGTGACACGTATGGTTTTGAGCACAATCATCCAAGGCCAAATAGTAAATTGGTAATTGACCAATCAAAGCGCGCGCTTTACTTTTGTTCTATCACAATTCTTATTAAGACTTCGTACATCAAAACTTCAGTAGTTCCTTCTTTTTCCTTATCTTTTCGAACGTTTGTGTGGGACTGTTTGTTAGTTACCGTATATACGTCTTTTTTCTAAACGTTTCTCCTTCTTACTTGTCCCTAACAGATTATCCTTTAGTTCGTTCTCTTTTGAGGTTGCTAATGCATGTTTACATCAGGGTCTCCTTCACTGAGATATGAAATGTTTGAAATATTTTAATCTGGGGAATCCGATCATTTTCCCCATCAAACAGACACCTTCTGAACAGTGACATGCCAATGAGGCATGGTGTTGCAGTGGTAGCTGGAATCTGCAGTATATAAATTTTTCTGTAGACCGGCTACTGGCATACATGTATTTACTCATAGAATACGCTACTATTCCTACTTTTCTTCTTTCATTGCAGTATTCATTAAATTGTGACCTTACAGTGCAACACCTGGTTGACAAGGTAATTCTCTTGGCATGATAGGTGGCGTAAAATTTGACCACATATTAGGGAGCTTAGGCAAAGGCGTTTTTGAGGCTGCGCACGTCAGCTGGGGGAGAAGCCTTATCCCTTTAAAAATATGACAGAAAGTTACTAATTGGTATTGCTAAGTGTCTTTACTCTAAAATATGGGCAAAAGCATTGCCTAAGAATGCAAGAAGTCCGCTTCTGTCGCTCAAACACGTCTTTGCCGCTATTCTCTCCAGATGTTTTCTTTAAACATTCTATTTTTTCTATTTAAGGTCTCAATATCCAATGGTATTGCTTGGAATGGAGAAAAGAAGGCTTTTTATCATGTTGACACATTTGAAAGGTACGTACCTCCATTGCTTCGAAAATGTCATACTAATCCATTGGCGAGGATAATTACAGTGCAGCTGTTAAAAAAAACGGAGCAGTTGCATCGGAAATTTATGACTAAAGAACGCGCAAACTTGTAATAATTATAGGTAGACTGTCATGTTGTTTCATTAGATAAAAAGCTTTTTACCACGCTGTGTGGCTACTTCCAAGTGCATGATTAGGTACAGGCTGCACTGATTTATTTACTGCATTGAAAACCGGCGTATTAGAACCTGGATTTTTCCAACTTAGCCTAAATAGCTTCTTATAGAAATGGTATTAAGTGGGATTTAAGGCTACTTAGGTTCTTAAATAGGTTCTTAATTTGATAGGGGCACTAGCGATCAGCACTGATAACTACTACAGGGCATATGCGTGTGAGATATGGAATATATATGCTGTCTTAAATATTATCTAGAATACAGTTTAGATGAGAACCATACAGTAAATTTATCTTTCCAAAGTACTAGCATGCACGTCTTTCTTGGTGCATTGTCCATAAAATGCTGTGTTGGCGAAGACATGATACGGATTTCATTTTCTTTCATTCGGCTTTGAATGTTACTGACTGAAACCTAGACTAAATTTTTTTTCTGTATTTTCATCTGTGCCTTCATTTTTGTAAAATAAGAACCTATAGAAAATTTTACACTAAATGGGTTCTTATGAAAAGGGGGTTTAAAATGAAAATTTAGCCTAGCAGGTTCTTAAATTTTAGGTTCTTATTAATGCGGTTTTTTACTGTATGGTGACTCCTGGGACTCAGCCTGTGAAAAATCGTGAGTCACAGATCGATCGATCATCGTTGCGTCCAACGTGACGCATGTCATCAATTATTTTGCTTCTTTTGGGGAATTTTCAGGGGTAACAAAAACGGTTACAGAAACGAGTGTCACCAGTGTTTGCCCCGATTTTATTTCTATTGGTTGAAAATCCGAAATATAGCTGTTCTTGAACGTCGACTTGCAGGAAAATAGACGTATTTGATTATGACGCAACAAGTGGTACGTTACTAAATAGGAGGACTATTGTGAAGGTTGATCCGTCTCTTGGAGTAAGTTGATTCATTAGTTCTAAAATAATTGTATTCTGAAGATGACATCAGCTTCTAGTCACTTATTTTAAGCTGACTTATTTCATTTTGTACGCCTCTCTCTGAAGGCTTTTCTGTCAGAGCTTTAGCCTTACTCAGCTGATACAGTGGCATTGTCGCATGTCATATCTTCACTCTGAGAGAGTCGCCGTTCTTTATTTATCAAGTGGCCTGGACAGACTGTGGACCTTAATTAGCGTGTACATGTACTTATAAAAAAGTTTAATAATGCTTCAGTTCATTTCACCCATTGAAAAGCGTACATTTTGACTCCGATGGTTATTAGCAGTGTAACGCTAACGGTGTCTGTGTTTGGTTTATCAGTATCCAGATGGAATGACTATCGATGTTGATGGCATGTTATGGGTTGCTATGTACAATGGATGGAAGGTGAGTTTGAGGTAACATATCAAACACAACACACAGTGTGTCATTCCGGCGATATCCATATTCTTCTCTGAAAAGAGCTTTTCACGTTATAGCTAAACACTGAAAAGTGATATTATCAAATACCAGAAGGAGTGTTTCATTCGATATCTAACCACCGAGAGGCAATACTTTATTTCAAACACGACTCGCAGATTTTTATCTGATATCCAGACATCAAGAAGACTGAGAAGTGGGGTGATAACAAGGCGCAAGACCCGGTCATCATGGTGTCTGGATATCGGATAAAAGACTGAGTTGAGTGTTTGATATAGCTTCTCAAATGCTCAATAGTTGTTAAAGAAATTGTCATAGTCTTTATATGGTATTTGTTGCCCTGTAGATTGTGCGGTACAATCCTGATACTGGGGAATGTCTCGGCCAATTAAATCTTCCGGTCTCTAAAGTCACATCATGCTGTTGGGCCGGAGTAAATCACGATGAGCTTATTGTCACAAGCGAAAGTTTGGTCAAAGTCATTTTCCTGAATTAGAACCTGCACTGTGATTTGTGGCAAACTTTGCCGATTGGTTGTCTATGTTGTGGACACTTAAATTTTGAAGTAAAATCGAGGGTGTCAATACGTGTAGGAGCAGGAACGACTTGCATTAATCAATTCCTAAAGTGCCAAGATTATTACGAGTATTTGCTCGCAGGCGATTGTCTTGTTTTCTACACTGGAAATTAGTCTATATTTTTGCTCAAGAGATAGAAAGTAACTGCTCATTTTAAAATCTGAGAGGAAAACTGATAGGTCCCCACACTGGTTAAATAAATAAATAAATAAATAAATAAATAAATAAAATGAAGAATTACCTCTCTGAGGAGAGCTGCCATGTTTAAATGTACGCGTCAGTCTCGACCCAGAGCTCTTTTGCGCATGTAGAGGAGAGAGATCAAGAGCTCTGGGGAACCCTGGAGCAAGATTGTCTCTGATTGGTTTCAGCAAATAAAAAAAAAATAAAAGTGTTTCTGATTGATCCATTCAGTTTGCACGAGAGCGGTTGAATGTTGAAGTAAACACGACAGGCCGATTCTTGATTTCAGCGATTCCAAAACAACATTTGCGCGACTAATTAGACAGAATTACTGGATTTTCCAATTTTCAAATAAAATAGCTTAGCTACATATCGAAAATTGAACCAGAAAAAGATTTGAATGTGAAAAAGTAAAATAAAAATGCACCGACATCTTTGCCAGCTATAATTTAAGAAGCATGACACATTACTGATTTTTCTTTGACTTCCACGTTATCGTATTGACACGAAGTAGCCGAGTATGAATAATGAGCTTCTTGTCGTAAATTGCCCAAAAACAGAATTGCAAGAAAAAATAACGGAAAAAGTCAATCGCTCCCTAAAGTGATGCGTGTACAATGCTACTAGATATTCTTCTTTTCACACGATATCGCATTTCAAAGCAGCTTCGCTGAAGTGTTAATGTTCATGAACAAACATAAATAAAAGGACGCTAAATTCAAAACTTCAAGTCTCAAATCTGTGATTGGGAACGTTTAACAGTATTTTCTCAGCAGCTACCACAAGAACCTTGGATACTTGAAAATTCCACAAGGCCGTTAACTGAATTTCTTCAGTTCTAATACCGAAGCAGCATAAGACTTTCACGATGAAGTAGATATAAAAGAAGCCAAAAGTTTGCTGGGATCAAAGAGCATGCGCTGTGAGGCCCAAACAGCCAGATTTTGGCTACTCCGGCGCAGAGTTTCCCAGAGCTTACGCGCGCATTCCCAAACCCTTAGCACTGGGGTCGAGAATGATGTGCACGTGTTAATCACGCGTGAAACTATGCGCAATAAGGATGCGCAGTGCAATACTAGGGAATAAGTAAGTCCATGCAGCCGTTTTATCCGTCAAAAAGTCGATCGAGCGAATCTCTAACGCGAGGCGCTATTTCTTTTGTCTATAAACCTCCAATCGCCCCATCTCTTCAATAAAATTTGATGTTTACTTTAGTTAATCAATATTGATTTGGAGAAAAATTTCCCCTTCATCTTCCTTACTCCAAATAGGAACCTTAAGATGCGACGACGGCGACGACAACAGGAACGTAAAAAAAACAACAGGTTAAGATTAGCAAAACAACAACTTAGCACGTGCATCACGCTTTTTAGTACACTTCGTTGCCGTCACAGCACGAGCACGACGTGAAAATGCCTAATTTCACGTTTTAGGGATGATGTAAACAATCTACTACGGGTTTCTTCCTGTTTCTGAACTTGGATATGGTTTTTAGGAATTTAACTCCAGGAGAGTTCCCCTACATTTGACAAAGCAAGTGAGTTGGAACTGTCGCGATGAAGACTGAATGAACGGGAATTCACTTTTTAGGCGATGTTTTCGCTGCCGTCGTCGTCGTCAGATCTTAAAGTCCCTAATATCATGGGAAAGGGGACCTGAAAAATTGCTTATGTACGCCTTGGAATATTCTAGTTTGGGCATATATTCAATTTGCCAACGATCTTATCTAAACAACATTATTTAGAGAAGACTAGAAAGGCATTTATCTTCTTAAAACAACGCAACAGAGATTCGTTCAAGCGCGGCTTAAGTTAGACTTTGTTTAAATATTTGGCCCACAGCGATCATATGGAAATCAGGAGAAAGGCTGTTCCATAAGGGCAATGAAACACTGATGCCGAATTAACCGTGACGTAGCCTTTTGGTTTAAGATAACTCTTTAAATTTATTCGCTGCTTTGTTGTTTACAGAGCTCGACTGAGTCCAGAAGAAAGACAGCAGCAGCCTCTGGCTGGCTCCATTTTTCGGATAAAAAACTTCGGAACTCGAGGATTACCAGCTGTTGCCTTCAATGGATGAAATAGAGAATTGGATATAGATTTATTTTTATGAAATTTTGGGTCTTTGACGGGTAATGCGACCCTCCTTTACTCCAAGATCACATTTGTGGTAGGCGAACGGTAAAATGCTGGAAATATGAAAAGTCCCTCTGTTCTGCTTACCAACACACGGACTGATATCTGACAAGACGATGAAGAGGGCGAGGAGAAATTGGGGGGGCCTTCAATTTTTTTTGGATGGAATATGGGGGGCCTTAAAATACCAAAAGGTGACCTTGAGGGGGTCTTCAAGTTTCTTTTAAGTAGCATCCCTACTGAGCAGCATGATGTTTGAGTGTTAAAGGACCTGATTTTGATTCAGTTTTACACAAAGTCCTATATTGTGTAATACTAAAACAATTTAATCAGCATTTTGACAAAAAGATTTAATGCTGAAATAGTAGGTGCATCAACACAACATCCGTTATTGTGTAACACTGAAACAATTTCATCGGCATTTTAACAAATGATTACATGCATAAAGTCATGTTATGCAATCTCACTATCCCAATCATTATTTGTAGATGAGGTTGATGTGGACTCACTGTCTGTGTCACCGTCCAGTTTTTTGCTATTAGAGCATTTACTGCTCATATAAAAAGCAGTAAGCTTTGGCTGATTATCTTCTTTCTTCCTTGAAGCGGTCCTGTCGGCCTCTCACCTTTCGATGGCTTGTCTTATCTCAATTATAACACAATCACTGATATATCCTTGCTCTATAAGCTGTTTGAGAGGCTCTAGGTGTAATCTCTTTCTCAGTTTAGTGTGAAGTGCTTCTCTGTTGTTAGTTGGCACATTCGGAAGTGACAGTGAGTAAGAACGGTAAAGTAAAGAAAATGTTATTTGTTATTACCATTTGGGTATTATGTATAAGAAAGGGGGGCCCTTAAATCTTTTAACATGATTGAAGGAACATGGGTGCTATTAGTGGGGGTCTGGAAAAAATTTGGAATAAAAAACAATTTCTCCTCCACCCCCGGCTCCAACTTAAATTATGACTGGTCCCTTAGTTAACCCTAGGACCAGCGTTAGGTTTAAATGTTTACCTTTAATTTAATGTCGTGGTAACTCTACGTGGAAATTACAGCTCCTTGCAGTTAATTTCCTTTTGCGTAGTGGATACGTATGTTCTGAGGAGTCGAGCTCGAAGCTTGCCTTCTGAACATAGAAATACTTCGTGTATTGTTAGTGTATAATGAGCGACACAAGCGTGGAGCGCGGCGAAGCCTAGAACTACTAGAGTTTTTTGTCTGTAGCCTTCCCATCCCTATTAGCCGGGGGGCTCTTCGGAGATGGGGAAGAAGGAATTGTAAAGAAAGTTAATTTCCCTCTCTCTCCATTACCCCCTCGCCGCAGTTTCTTACTTACTATTTATATAATCGTAAATAAGGATCGCGTACCCAACTGATTTGAGGAAAAAAAAAAACAACAACAACAACAATAATAATAATAATAATAATAATAATAATAATAATAATAATAATAATAATAATAATGTCTAGCCCTTGTGCCTTTAACATCAGAGCTGGCTACATCTGGGTATGGTTACAAGATCTTAAACACAAGTGTTCCAATCAGCAATCTGTTTTATATGGATGATCTAAAATTGTATAGGAAGAAGGAGCAAGAACAAATTGGAGAACTGAAAATAGTGAAACAATTCAGTGATGATATTGGTATGGAATTTGGACTTGAGAAATGTGCCAAAGCCAGTGTCAAGAAAGGTAAACTGGCCTCAACTGGAAACATAGTAATAGATGATGACACAGAAATACAAGAGTTGGACTAGGAAGGAGTATACAAATACCTGGGTGTAGATGAAAGTGATGGTATCCAGCATAGCAAAATGAAAGAGAAGATAAGAAGAGAATATAATAGGAGAGTAAGATTAATCCTAAGAACTGAGCCCAATAGAAGAAACAAAATAGAAGCTATCAATAGTCTTGCAGTCCCAGTTGTGCAATATAGCTTTGGCATCATTGACTGGAAAATCTCAGAACTGAAGAAGATTGACACAAAAACGCGCAAACTATTGAACATGTACAAGATGTTACATCCTGAAGCAGATGTGGAAAGGCTGTACATCCCAAGAAAAGATGGAGGTAGGGGCCTGATTGACGTAGAAACAGCATTCAAAACAGCAACAATAGGGCTTGATCACTATCTGAAGCACAAAGAAGGGCAATATCCAAAGCAGGTGCTTGAACATGTAAGATCTAAAGCCAAAAATTCAATATCCAAGAATGCTACTAAATTCAAAAGAGAAGTTACAATGCCAGAGATTGAGAACAGAGAAGATAAATGTGCCTCTGAAAATGCTAAAGCCCTGAAACACGTGTTTAAGTCCAAGATGAAGTCAATGAAAGAAGAAAAGTGGAAAAACAAAGCATTGCATGGCCAGTATCCAAAGATGCTAGAGAAGGCTCATGTAGCCACAGTCACCACCAGCAAATGGTTGTCAAATAATTTGAAAGGAGAAACAGAGGGACTACTTGTAGCAGCTCAAGACCAGGCAATAAACACCAGAAACTACCAGAAAGTAATATGTGGCCAGCAAGTGGAGAGCAAATGCAGAATGTGTTCGCAACATGAAGAGACGGTGGACCATATTGTATCTGGATGTGAGGCATTAGCCAAAACAGAGTACATCTCCAGGCACAATAATGCTGCAGCATATCTCTATTGGAGCATCTTTAAAGATCACGATATAGAGATTACAGACAAATGGTACGAACACGAGCCTGAGACCGTGATGCACAAGAAAGATAACGACATCACCATCATGTGGGACATGCCAGTCAATACTGATAGAACTATAACAGCGAACAGACCAGACATCATCGTTAAAGATTCAGTGAATTCCACCTGCAAACTGATTGATATGACTGTTCCATCAGATAGAAACATCGCACTGAAGGAAACTGAAAAAAAAAAAGCACGTACAAAGACCTAGAACTAGAAATACAGAGAATGCGGCATATGAAAACCGTAGTGATCCCTGTGGTCGTTGGTGCGCTTGGTGCATTGAAGAAGGGTATGGTAGAAAACATCAAGAAAGTATCAGAGAGAGCTACTATGACAGATATTCAAAAGATCTGCATGCTGGGATCTGCGCAAATCCTCAGAAAGGTGCTCAGTGTATGAACAGAATGATTGACTTGAATGACTGACGCTCTAGGTGCATGGTTTGTGCCCGGCTGATGCACAAAAAGAACACCAGCAAAGACTGTGATAAAAGAGAATAATAATAATTATAATAATAATGAAATTTAAGGTTATAATATCTCAGGATAGTAACCAGAAGCGCCATTTGAAACCCACACATTCAAGTAAGGGTTGGTGTAGTTATTTATCTACATCGTCTCGCAGTCCAGCCACACATCCATTTATCCATTCCATTTTACCTATAGTAAGCAAACTTTCCAACCTCCACTCCGAACGGGAAACTGGGAAAAGTAGTGAGAAGTAAGAAAAAGTCGTGAGATGACCCAAATTTCATAGAAGAAGGACTTCTAGCGGGGATAATGGGGTTAATATTTTAAAGCTGGAGTGGTAAGCATCACGATCAGTCTTCATCTCACCGTACCTTCTGACATCCACACGTTACAGGGCTGGTATTCATCTTGAAATGAGAGATTTTAAAGGTTCATGTTAAGGGACCGGTCGTTTATTACGTCCAAGTGGGAGAGGGGACCAAGCGGGGGGGGATGGGAGGTACAATTTTCATATGTAATTTTTTTTTTGGGGGGGGGAAGCTTTAATACACCAAACTTTTCTGAAAACCCCGGCCCCCCTATACTATGGGACGTAAACAAACGATCGCTCCCTAACAATGAGGCTGCGCCTGACCTTGCTACATCTAACTCAGTGCCAGATCCAGACCTTAAGATAAGGGGGCGGTCTCCAAAAAAATTTTCTGCCCTTCGGGCCTCTGTTTGGCATAAAAATAAGGGAGGGGGCGGGCCCCCTGGGCCCCTCCCCTGGATCTGCCACTGTAACTTATCAGGGAAACGAACCTTCTGGCCCGACAGATGTCCCCATGTTTTGTAGTGTGACTTTTTGAGAAGGCGTGAGAACTCAGAAGTAAACTCGTCAGAGCGTGAGGAAAGTCGTGAGACGCCTGGAAGACTTTGCAACTCTGGTTAGATAAAACAGTGAAATAAACCCTTCACTCCCGGGGGCTGAGGCGGGGGGGAACTCCTATATGAAAGAGGCGGGGATGGTCGCCGTCTCGCTGAGGGGTGTAAAATTCAGATTTTGGTCTCGCCTAAGGTGTTCTGGGCAAAACACCATTATATTTGTTAGCCGTAAAGGTCTCTTTTAGGATTGCACTCGAAGAAATATTAAAAAACTATATATTTTCAATTCGTTTTATTTACTCGATTCATGTAATCGAAGTTTAAATTGATCGCTTTGAGAGGTCAAAAAAAGGTTGGGCCACGCCCAGATTGGTCTCCATATGCCCCACTTCAGGGCGGAAAAACGTAATGAGCATGCGTGGACTTTTTAGTCCAGATCCCCTGGCCGGGTTTGAAAAAATGGCGGGATTTCAAATATTTTCTTGCCTAAAAATAAAATGTTTCCACCCATAACCTGGAAAGAACAGGCAATTTGTCTTCAAAAGTTGCAAGCGGTGGTTATAACCTTGTGGTTACTTAATTTTCTCGAAGAATACCTCATAGTAAAACGGACTTTAACGACATTAATTTCCTTGCGTTGTACTGGAAATGTGCATGCGTAAGTCCCATTTTTTTCAAGATGCATTCACAAAATGTGTTCATATAAGGAAGTTTCTGGATATATAAGGTCCGGAGCTCTACTGTGGACACAAAAACAATATATCTTTGGACAGTGATTTGCCCAAAAAAATTAACGCTTGCCCACAATGTGTTTGAAGTCACTGAACTTTGTCGCACTCGAGCGAATATTTTAAAACCCTCGCTCGATCGGACACTCGTAGTTTCGCAGATCACTAAAATATAAACAAAATCCTCAATGTAGAAGTTATTGCGTTGATATGTGAGCAGAAAGAAGGTCAATCTTTATCTGGTAAAATATTCCCAAAAATCGGTTTCAAAGCAACTATAGTTTTCTAAACCTGCTCGTTTCGCGCAGATATATAAATTTTGCTTTGTGTTGTCAAGTTGAACACGCATAACATCTGTCAAAAACCTACAAGTAAGAAGGATTTCCTTCAAACAAAATTAAAGTTACATTATTTCAAAAACTTGTTGCTGACAATGAAGAAATGAATTTTCTGTACGAAAACAACCCACCTAAAGATCGTAAAAGCAAAAGATCAGTTGCAACTTGGCAGCCAAGCCATGATTCACCATTTAGCTATTATCAATGCAAGGGTCTTCGTTTAAGCAAATTAAACTCAGCCGATCATTAGAAAATACAGAAGATTGCACATAAGGGTTTGTTTTGCTCGCCTCAGTCACATCAAGCTGCAGCAATTGTTTACGGGAAAAGAGTCAATTGTTTTGAAGTTACTGCTGGCAGTTGTCGTTCTCTACTTCACAGCGAGTGAAAAGGACAATTTGCGTACAGAAAGTTATTCTTATAAAGAACAGAAACTTTCGCAGTGCACTGGAAAACAAAACTATGTAAGGAAAAATGAAAAAACTCCAACTATTATTACTTGAGCAACAGAAAAATGATCTTGAGTAAGCTTGCTGGCCTTCTATTTTCGAGAAAGTTTAATAAGCGCACAAGTTTGTTCACTCTGATGCGTGATAACAGCAATATGGTTCTTTGACTGAAGACAAAGATAAAGCTGGTTCTGCAAAGGTAATAAATCTGGGCATGTAAAAAAGTAACCGTAACTACTAATAACAGAATACAAGCGGGTTTTAATTCAACCCGGCGAAATCAACTCATAAATTAATCGGATGCACAATCAGAAAAATACTCGCCTCTTAAGAAATGTTCAAAACCTTTTATTCCACCTCAGACTGACGGAATGATCCGTTTTTCCTTTAACATTGGTTGTTCCGAATCCAAAGTAATTTTCAAGCGACGTAAAAAAAGCAAACATGTCAAATAAAAATGCTTTACAGGGAACAAACGTTCGCACCTCGTGCATTTCACTCAGAACTCCAGCAACAAACAAACACAGTCAACACACAGAAAAGCCCGCCTTGAGCCTGCGATAAGGGATGCGCAGAAGCTTGCGCAGAACGTTTTTCCGCCCTGAAATGCCCCACGCCCCACGGCACTTCACTGAGTCAACGTTCCAGTTTGTACCCAGGTTTCGTCGGCCAGTTATTGTCAGATGACTTGAAACATGGCGGTGCCGGAAATTTCCGTCCTCGGTAAAAATGTGCGTGCCAAGCTTGGAGAAGGACCACACTGGGATACAACTACGCAGAAATTACTCTGGGTGGACAGTTTTGATCACAGTGTTCATATCTTGGATGTAGAAAAAGGCGAGGTATACGATAAAATTAATATAAGTTAGATACTGGGGTTCAACGAGTACTTCATGTTATTAATTTTCAATTGCAAGGCTGAAGCTTTTGTTATACAAACAAGTGGAATATCAGAGGTCTTTTTCCTTAATGAATACTAAACGAGGAAGAAGAAGAAGAGAAGCTTTACAATATTTGTGACTTTTAATATACGAAATAAATGTGGAATTGATAATTCTTTACAAAATCCACCTTATGACCAACTTGACCAATCTGGAAGTTCACACACATGGAAGGCCTGGGGTCTGTAACTGACTTGGGGAGCAGGGGTGGGTATTTAAAGCCACACACAATAGAAAACAACCAACCAAAGTTGAATTTCATGTATACAGGTGACAAACTTTGTTGTTATATTTCTATAGACTTTCACTCAACCAAACAGGGACTGCCATTGGTTGATTCTTGGTCACATGGCCTTGACTAAAATCAAATGTATCCCGATCGTGATACATTAAGCAATGTACTCACTCGGGATACATTGCAGCACATGATCAAACCATGGTGGAAAGTGGCGTGACAGAAGGTGGGGAAACACTGCCAGTTTTCTTTTTCGTGAATGAATACAACAACACAAACACAAAGCCTTAAGCTAAAAAGCAACGATTTTTAAAGTTATCCCAGAAGAGGAACAGCAGCTAGTAGTGGAAAAAGATGCAGATAATATAAGGATAGTACTTTGTAAATCATTCAATGACATTCAGTTGTTTTGAGAATTAGATTTTTTATAAGCATTGAGTGGACTGTTTTGGTTCGCTCCGGTTATTCTTTTGTTGCTGTTGAAGTGAAAGTCTAGAAATATAACAAAACACTTGATGTCAGGTCCCTCGAACAATCTTTTCTGGGTGTTATGGAATATGGTAAGGGGTTATTTATGCAATAGGTGTATGAATTAAAAAAACCATATCAGCAGGGAAGGGAATTATTGCCAACAATATAAATCACATAGCTACTATATTTCCTACTAGAAGTGATTTTTCCTAAGTAGCAAAATTATAAGAATCTGCCGGCCTTCCATGAAAAAAGAGGCCCTAATTCTTTTTCTTTGCTTTCCATTTGCACCAAGATATCACAGTACTTTAATTCTCTACTTGTTTTAAGCACTTCAGTGATATAAACAAAGGAGAACGATGATCCAGTAACTCTGTCCCCTCAGGGTTCTTCAGGGCCAAATATTTTTTCAAAAATAATCCTCACAATCTTGGTATGCCTGATGTTTTACAGGATAGAAGTTATCAACTAGATGGTATTGTTGGAAGTGGTAGGTTTTTCCTCCAGTTTAGTTAACTAGCCTACAAGTACGTTTGTTAATTACAACAGAGTAAGAAGACTCATTCACCAGTCAACTCTTTCTAAAACAAATATATGTACCTTATGGGATCAACTAGTTTCTGTCTTAGAGAGATGTCCATCTTATAGTTACCTCTAGAAGTCCATTTTACAAAGGTGTCCATCTTGTAGAGGTGTCCCTGGAGAGAAAGTCAACTGTACACTGTTCTCTTAATAAAACTTTGAAAACCATAAACTATTAACACTGCAATGTAACCTGCAGTGATAAATGTGTAAACTTATTGAAAGGGGACATAGAGGACACAGACCCCGGGGGTGTGGGGAGGGGACTGTCAGGGGCCCACAGTAACTGACACCACAATGGCTGTTACATTGACCCTACCAAGAACTGGTGAATCTAAATATTGAATTAAATAATAAATTAAGTGGCCTCTATGAAACAGGACAACAAAACTACCAGCCACTTATAGGCCTGTAGGTTAAGGTAGATAAAGGTCCATGGTGCTGATCAATCTGTTGCAATATGTACCAGCCTTCATTGTTTTTGTGAAAAGACTAAGCATATACACATACTGACTTGGCCTACAACATATTTATTGGGTTTAATGTAACCCCTTTATAACAAAGGACCAAGGGGTCCTGGGTCTAGTAGCTGTACAGTGCCCCCCCTCCCCCCTTCTACAAAAAATGTAGTGGTCCCACCATGGAAAGATGCTACAAACCTTCTATCTCTCCCTTCTACCTTTTGTGTGTCTTTTATGCCTGCTTCTTGGATACCTTAACCTGCTGCTTAATGTTTACAGTTGTTCCAAGGAAAAGAGGTGGATCTGTTCTTGTAGCAACCCAGACAAGTTTAATATTTTTGGACCTTAAGGTGAGAATTTTATCCTCGTTCAAGTTTAGAAAACCTCCACACTTTCCTCACAGATCGAGGGATTGAAAAAACTCCCTGGGAAAAAAGTGAATCTCAAGTACTAAAAAAAATTAAATGAAATGTATATAGCTTAAATTTGATTATTACCAAATTTGATTATTACCAAATGGGGAAGGTTAAGGGATGTTTTCTGGACTACACACATTGCCATATGATTGCAGTCACGAAATATTTTGAATGAGTGACCTAGTTGAACTAATTTTTAAAGTTTTTATCATCAAGTCTCATCACGCCAGTAGGTGCATAAGGGGTTTAAAATTTTAGCGGTGCATTTTTAATAGACTGGCTTACGAGTTGTTGTTGCCTGTTTTAAAATTATATGCTTTATATTTATTATATTAAAGAGAAATTTATTTAAAATTGATGTGCTGTTATGGGTTCATCTGTTTTGTAAGCTAGCTAGCATAATTTACGATTATCAGTGTGGGAGTGGCAAATGGTCAAGATGATGGGACCCTGCAGCTTCTGAATTATGTAAAATCCTTTGTAACACAGTACAGGCAAAGGCCAAAAAAAAAAACAAACAAACAAACAAACAGAAAGACCAAAAGAAAAAGAAAACGAAAAACACGTGACAGAGTAAATCACATGCAATGACATGAGCCGATGTGAGCTTTTAGTCAGCCTTGTTCCATAGCTGCACAGCTCCTCACTGCAGATTAATAGAGACTGTAAGTACCCTTTAAGAATTTCAGCTCATTAAAACTCACTTTCCCATTTATACAGCTGGGTTTGAATTTCTGATCTTTCATTGTAAAATGCTCATGCATACTTTTGATTCATTTAACACCCTTAAATTTAATCTTACATGTTATTCATTAGTACATATATTCTGTTGATCTTGCATCTTATTACTTTATTTTCTTTGGGATGTATCTTTCAGACTGGTGAAAAGGAAGTTGTTGCCACAGTAGATGGTAGGATTGATTAAGTAAAAATTCATCATCAGCCATGAGCTTTAATTTATTTTCATTATCTAGTAAGTAAGAAATCTAGTTTAGATATGAGATGAGAAGTATCTTAAGTTCATATCAAATTATGAGTATAAGTATGTTATGTTGATATCAAATTAAGATTATACTTTGCCTGTGAGTCAATTAAGGCAAATTTACCCGTTAGTCTCTAATTATTTATTATTGTTAACCACCACCACCACCATCATCATTACCATCGCCTTTACCACCATTTCATCATTATTGTCATTGTCATTGCATACTAATTTTTGTACAATGTTTGTTTTCTTTGTCAATTCACCTCTGATCAATTTAACCAGAACAGCTTCTTAAAATATAAGTTTATCATATCCATCCACTCTAAAGAGGGCTTCAAGCTTAAATAACGTTGTTTTTATATGTTCATCACCCTGATCTGTTCATTGTAGATGATAAACCGGAGAACCATCTGAATGACGGGAAGTGTGATCCGGTAAGTCGATCCCCGCTTCCAATCCCTCCGCCTCCCCTCAAGCTCCAAATATTTGATAGTACAGTGGAACCTCGCCTTACGACCACCCCGTTTATAAGACCACCTCGTTATTACGGCCATATTCTTTCAAACCAAACGTAAAAACCATTGAGTCATTTTATTATTTTGAAGACCCCGTTAATGCGACCACCTCGTTATTATGTAGCTAGGACCACCTTATATACCATATATAACGGTACTACCTCGGGGAACGAAACTGTAGCAGAAGGGCTACGTAATGATGGCATACGGACGAATGTACTAGGCCATTTTCCGTGTGGTTTTATCAAACGAAGAACATTTAATGGGACAAATTCACCAGCATGCACAGTAGAGTGTACTGATATTCAACTAAGGTTAAATAGGTCAAACGCCTTTTTGCCAAAAGCAGCCACAGTAAACGTTTTGGGACTAATAATGTCTGAACAACTTTGCAACAACCTAATGCGCAGAATACTAGTTCAGAAGTTTTCGAGGAGGTTATCAGCAATATTAAGAGAGGAAAATACAATTGCTACAGGCTTCCAAGTTCATGAGGTTTGTTGCTTAATGGTGCAGTTTTGACCTTTGACTGAATGGCCAGGCTGGCATCTGTAAATTCCTCATTAAAAGTTACATTCAGGTGAAAATTTTTAACCTAGGTTGATTCTCAATTTCCGTTGTCTCCTAGCCCCAATTCCTGAAGAGTCAGGTCTGGGAGACAAAGGAAGTTGAAAAAAATGTTCATCTAAATGTAATTTTGACCTGTAACATTAACCTCAATGATAACATTCTTCAGAACCATGACATTTAGCCTAGATGGAGGCGAGATTCAGGTTGTGGGAAGGAAATATATCAGAAAACAACAACAACAAAGAGCCTTGAATCCTCTCACAAACGCAAGCTGTCATGCCGCTGTCGTACATCAGGTACATCGTGCGTTGCCAATCGGAATGGGCAACAAAAATAAAGCACTAAGATCAGGAGGAACGAATGACTCGTCAACGGTGGAGACATGTGACGTGGCAGGCGTTCGAAAGGGAAGGGGATTACGGGTGCGCGAGAAGAGCGAAAGACGCTTCACCTTCCCTTTGGAACGACTGCCAGATTGGAAGGGTGTCCACATGTTAAAGATCCTTTCGCTTAACCCTTCTGCTTTTGCACAGTCTGCAATTCTTATTTAATTGAGCAAAGAGAATACTTAGGAAAGCGCGAGCTGACGACGAGGGGAAGGGACAGGGGAAGAGACGGTGGTTAAAACTGACTTTAGCAACTCAGTTAGTGTACATGCAGTAGACCTAGCCTCCCCGCAGACGTCCTTTGGGGTTCGTTCGTCACGCATTCATTTCTCCCCCACGGACGAATGAATGAATGCGTGACGATCGAACCCCAAAGGAAGTCTGCGCGGAGGCTAGTGTAGACCATCCTAAGTGTTATAAGCTTCCGTGACTCAGGCTATGAACACGCTATACCTGATAGCTTCTGCGCCCGCGCGAAAATCGTACCGGATAGGGCTTTTGTTCACACACAAGAACGATGAGTTTGGCGCGAATATCTGTAACCAAGCGAAGCTGCGCCTCGCCGATCTCTAAAGTGGAGAGTCACATTTATACTATACCGGAAAGCTATATAGAGTGAACATAGCCTCACAGTTGGAGCTTATGTACAGTGGAACCTCGCCTTACGACCACCCCGTTTATAAGACCACCTCGTTATTACGGCCATATTCTTGCAAAGCAAACGTAAAAACCATTGAGTCATTTTATTATTTTGAAGACCCCGTTAATGCGACCACCTCGTTATTACGACCAGGATTTATGGCCCAACGGTGGTCGCATTAACGGGGTTCCACTGTAGTTAAATATGTTTTCTTGACAGGTGGGACGATTTTGGGTAGGTTCCATGGGGCCTGAGCCAAAGCCAACACAGGTGGTCCCTGAACAAGGATCTCTTGTAAGTTGGAATTATACGTTCTCAGTAGTAAGTAATTATCAACATTAATCAGGTCTTTAATGAACTGTCAACGTCAGAGATTCTAAAAAACTGTTAATAGCTTGTCAATTCATATTATGTAATTATTTTCCAAGCAATTACAATGGCTAATGACAATGCCCTTTTCCTTCTCTGTTTTTTTATTGTATTATGTGGAGATTGGTCCTTATTCTTTTTGCAAAGTACTCAGTTCGTCAGATTCATAGCGAAGCTATTGTATCCATGTACACTCTTAAAGAGTACATTTATTTTTTATGATCCTTTGAGGTAATTAACTTCGCACATCTGCGTGACTGTGTATGACTGTGTTGTTATACATGTACACATCATTTTTAGAAGTACAGGCCGCCACTTTCCTGATCTGTGTTAATTCCATTACGACTAAGAATTAGAATACCGTCTAAACAGTGACACTGGATGACTGGTGAAATTCAGTTTTAAAGCAAAAGAATGTACGATGGATATTATCAAAACAGTTTAGTTTCCCACTGAATCCTTAGAACGCTCTGGTCCATTTGAGCAGAACCTTAATCCGCCTTGTAGCGCTTGTGTCGTCATCACCTTTACTGACACACTTTGCACAGCACACAGAGGTCCTTAAGGGCAGGTATGAAATGAATCAGAGCTTCACGCCAAAAAAATTCTCTCTCGTTTTTCTTTTTTTTAAAATTATGTTCTTCAAGTTTTCGTGAAAACTTTTCCTGGTTGATTGAAGTCTTAAAATTGCAGTGGCAGTGTAGTGTAAAATATAGAAACGGGGAACTGAAAATAAGAGGCAGGAGGGGCTAGTTTTTCTCAATCAAAAACAAAGTGAAATTCTCTTTGTTTGCGTATGCATTGGAACTTAAAGAAGAAAAATTAAATAGACAAGCCGGGAGCAAAAAAATGATATTTGCATAATTTTTTTTAGCTGTATAAACATATGTCGAGCTAATCAAGTCTGACCTATTTCAGTTTTCCTTCACTGGTGATAGAAAGCTCACGAAGTGGATAGATAAGGTAGGTTTACTTAAATAGTGCTTTTTTTCGGTATTTGGCGTTGTTTGTTTAAAACCTTCCATCTTTGAAGAGCAATAGTACGTAATTTTACTTTTTCTTTGTTTTGTTCAAAAAATAATACCAATAGCGCGGAGAAAACGTAATAAAGCTTTTTTAAATCTACTGACATTCCATCCATATCCAACGAAAACGACGGCTATGTTTGCATTAATGTGAAAAAGTCAATATTCACCGCTGTGCTGCATGAACAGTGCTGCGTTTATTTGGGGCGGTGCTGTTACAGTAAATCAGTACAGTACTTGTATGTCTCTATGCTTGTTCATTTCGTAATTAACATGTCAAAAACAGATCACAGCTAACTCTCTGTGATCAAGACTCATGGTAAATCCTTATGAATAGGTCCACACCCCACCCTCCCCCGTATTTTTCTAACCTATTTAAAATCAATTTCCCTTCTGATAAGAATCATTTTAGTTTGTGACTGAGTTAAAAATCATTTCGCAAAATGCTTTTGATTGTAGGCTGTTTTTAGCAAAGTCTTGCTGCTAGCCGTTCATCTGGCGTCATGACAGTCATGTTGCTTGTCAAGAACAAAAGCGTTTCCCTCCCTGGGAACCTTCTTTTGCGTGAAAATTCTGCGGAAAAAGAATTGGATTGCGTTAATTGTCAATAAAGCCGCCTTGTAAAGTGGTTGCAAACGAAGAATTACAATGGAACCTCGATATAACGAAGGGCCATGGGACTGACAAATTGACCACTCCAGAAAATACCGTAACATGCCATAATGCTCTTTGATTGTCAACCCAAACTTTTGCGTAAGCATTGTCTTCAGTTTCTCTTGGGAGTTAAAGTTGCCACAAGAGAAACTGAAAACAATGATTTTCCAAAATTTTGGAGGGACAAACTAAGAGCAATATGGTACGTTATGGCATTTTCGGTAGTGGCCAATTATGTTGGCCATAAGGAGATTTCGTTCTACAGTGGAACCTCGCTTTAACGTACTTCAACGAAGTCCTCGGTATAACAAACGATATTCTTTTCTTCAGTAATAGTAAAATGTATGGAAAAGAACCTCAATGTAACCAAACGTCCTTGTAGCGAACATATTTTGTTAATTAGTCCCTTGGCCCTTCGTTTTATGGAGGTTCCACTGTATCGGGTTCTTTTCCATACATTTTACTTTATTTACTAAAGCTGGTAATATCGTTCGTTATAGCGAGGAGGACTTTATTCTTATTTAAATTATATAGAGGTTGGTTATATCCAGGTTCCACTGTATCGAGGTTCCTTTCCATACATTTTACTATTACTGAAGCTAGGAATATCGTTCGTTATACCGAGGACTTCGTTCTTCATATAGACGTTCGTTAAATTGAGGTACCACTGTACTAGAAGACTTTTTAATTGTAATATAAATTGCGCTTTTGCTCCAGATTACCATTTCTAATGGGATGACATGGAGTTTGGATAAGAAGACATTTTACTACATTGATACGGCAACCAGGTATCAACAAAAATGCTACACCTTTTACCGTTCAATGTCAAACTGCCTTTCGAGGTTTGGTTGAACGTCAACGGTTTTTACTTGAAAATTAGACTGACAAGTTGAATGGTAACATTTTTTCTTTATTTATTTCTTACAGCCAAATTGATGCCTTTGATTATGATCAAGAGGCTGGTTCAATATCAAATAGACGGACTGCAGTTAAGATCGATCTATCACACGGGGTAATTTTTCTTTTACAGTTGTAAAACGCAAGTTATACTTGTCTTGTTTAGTTTTGTTATTGTTGTTATTTATTTTCATCGAGTACTTA